CATGCTCGCGTATTGGGGAGTCTAGGGGCCGGGAGGGGTTAAAAATTAATATTTTTATTTATGTTTTACATTCTAAAATTAATATACTATTTTTAAGAATTAATGCAACAAGATGCACCATTTTTTGATGAATATTCTATTTTTTTATGATTTTATTTATTTTTTATCTTTAAAAAATAAAATAAATTAAAATAAATGTCAACAAATTATGAAATTTTGCAATCGTGATCCTTATATTTTTTCTAGGCATGCCTGCATAAAATGACCTCAAAAAATTAAAAAAAAAAAAGTAAAATGCTGTCAAAAAGCCCTTGCCCAACGTAGTGGGGCGCCCAAGGGCCGGGATGAGTAAAAAATTTACATTTTTATTTATGTTTTGCACTCTAAAATTCATATATAATTTTTAGAAATTCATGCAACAAGAAGCACTATTTTTTGATGAATATTCTATTTTTCATGGTCTTCTACATTTTTCATCTTTAAAAAATAAAATAAAATAAAATAGATTTCAAACAAGTATGAAATTTTGCTGGCACGATCCTTACATTTTTCTAGGCAAGCCTGCAAAAATTGGCCTTAAAAAATGACAAAAAAAGTAAAACGATGTCAAAAAGCCCCCGGCCCACGTAGTGGGGCTCCTAGGGGCTAGGATGGGTAAAAAATTTACATTTTTATTTAGTTTTTACATTCTAAAATTAATATACGATTTTTTGGAATTAATGCAATAAGCGGCACCATTTTTTGATGAATATTATATATTTTTTTATAATTTTCTTTATTTTTTGTCTTTGAAAAATAAAATAAAATAAAATTGATGTCAACCAATTATGAAATGTGGCAGACCTGATCATTACATTTTTCTGGGCATGCCTGCAAAAAATGACCTCAAAAAAATGACAAAAAAAAAAATAAAACGCTGTTAAAAAGCCCTCACCCCGCGTAGTAGGACGCCCAGAGGCTGGGATGGGTAAAAAATTTACATTTTTATTTATGTTTTGCATTCTAAAATTAACATACGATTTTTAGGAATTAAGGCAACCAGCGGAACCATTTTTTTATTAATATTTTATTTTTTATGATTTTCTTTATTTTTTGTCTTTGAAAAATAAAACAAAATTAAAATAACGTCAAAGAATTATGAAGTTTTACAGACATGATCCTTATATTTTTCTGGGCATGCTTACAAAAAATGACCTCAAAAAGTGACAAAAAAGTAAAACACTGTTAAAAAGCCCCCGGCCCGCGTAGTGAGGCGCCTAGGGGACGAGATGGGTCAAAAATTTATATTTATATTTATGTTTTATATTCTAAAATTAATATATCATTTTTAGGAATTAATGCAATAAGTTGCACCATTTTTTGATGAATATTCTATTTTTTATGATTTTCTTTATTTTTCATCTTTGAAAAATAAAATAAAATAAAATTAATGTCAAACAATTATGAAATTTTGCAGACACAATCCTTACATTTTTCTAGACATGCTTGCAAAAAATGGAATCATAAAATGACAAAAAAAGTGAAACACTGTCAAAAAATCTCCGCCCCGCGTAGTAGGGCGCCCAGGAGCCGGGATGGGTCAAAAATTTACATTTTTATTTATTTTTTACATTCTAAAATTAAGATACTATTTTTAGGAATTAATGCAATAAGTGGCACCATTTTTTGATGAATATTTTATTTTTTATGATTTTATTCATTTTTTATCTTTAAAAAATAAAATAAATTAAAATAGGCGTCAAATAATTATGAAATTTGTCAGACACGATCATTATATTTTTCTGGAAATGCCTGCAAAAAATGGTAAAAATGTAAAACGTTGTCGAAAGGCCTCCGGCCTGCGTAGTGGGGCGCCCATGCCTAGGATGGGTAAAAAATTTACATTTTTATTTATGTTTTGCATTCTAAACTTAATATGTGATTATTTATGTTTAAATTTGAATTTTGAAACACACACGTGAAGGTGTTCACATAGTGTGAACGCCTAGCACATTGTGAATCCTTTTAGGATTCAGTTCTTTACTCTCCAAGTTATCCAATTGGCTTATTTAATAAGTTGTCCAATTTGAAATTCATATTGATTTAAATTTGACTTAAAATTGGAATTTAAATTTGAGTCAAAACTGGACTGCACGATAAATATAGAATTTTACCCATTCTTTACCTGCAGTATGCGCCTACTACAGGGAGCAATCTCCCTATGGTGGCCGGCTAACATGTGGATAATGGAAAGTGAATTTTGTTTCAAAAATTAAATTAGAAGTGGGAGATAATTATCTTGGAGATAAAGATTAGTCTTCTTGTGGGAATCTGACTACTTTTCTATAAATAGGAGATTATAGATAATTGGAGAAAATTTTTTTTGCTCTCTCATAGCTATAGTGGCCGAATTATAGAGTGTGTGCAAAGGAAAATTTTCTCTAAATTCTACGTTGTGCATGTGTTGGTGTTTGTGAAAAACTTGAGTGTTATTAGCTTGAACCCGTTTTGTTTCAGGTGTGCCCACACACGTCTTCGTAGATTCAAGGAATTGATGAGAAAGATTCGGATGTTCTAAACTAGCTTGAAGCAAGGAACGTTCGTGGTCAATGAATCCAAGTTATCGTCATAGTCGTTTGCTATGTAAATATATTAATTTGATTAATTTATTCATGCATAAATTAATGTAATCTATAGACTATCTCAAAGTTTTATGAAAATTTTTGAAAACCAACACAATCATCATCATCCCCATCTCCATCATGAATAGCTCTTGGCTTCATAGGAACAACTAAGGACAACTCCAAATCTTTTTGATCGGTTGTATAGAAAACTTGTTTTGCTTGCGTTGCGAAAATGAAAGGATGATTCTTGTAGCCCAATCTTTGAAAGTCAATCATCGTAGCTCCGTCACTATCAACCTTCACATAATTATTGTTATCCACAAAACCATAGTAGGTCATTGTTCCATATACGAGATTCTTGTCTTTTACGGACGAAACATACATAGCATCAGTACGATAACTAACACCACTATTTTAGACCGAGTGCTTCTCATCTCTTCCTTAAGTGTAGAAGGTATATCTATTTAATAAGTATGAAGTGTATTTCATTACCATCAATGATGGTCCTCTAACTAGCTTAAACAAGTTTTTTAACACACCTTCATTTTTTTGACTCGCGAACCTTGGAGTAAGTGTGTGTCCGTATCCACTTTCTAAATGTGGTTATGTTCATCTTGCAACCACTTCTCATTTCTCCCTCTTTTTGAGTTTGCTACCTTTATTTATTTTTTGCGGACCTCTATGTATAGTTCCACCTCGTGAGCATTATGCAGAAAGTAGAGACAAGCTTGTTCTCATGCTCCGCGAGAAACCAAGGCCATAATGCCGACAGATTTATCTTTTGGCTCCATGTTTTTAAAAACGTTTTCGCATGTCTTTCACTATATCACTATAAAAAAACACAGGGTGTCAAAAGCATCTTTAGCTATATCATTTTTTGTTGTTTTTGAAATCCGCACGTGTTTTGGGGCACACAAATGAAAATGGTCTACAAACCACGTTTGTTTAGCAAATATTTTTAGAACGAAAACGAAAGAAAAAAACAATGATAATGGTTTTTGTGAAGAAAGTAGAAAACGATTTAAAGTTGTTTTCCCTTTTTCGTTTTCATTTTCTAGTACTTATCAACAATATTATCTTAAATAATTATTATTAATTACTAATTATATAACATAATAATTAATAATTAATAAATAGTATGATTAATAACTAATAAATAGAAAGTAATTACTTAATTATTAATTAAATATTAATGTATTATTATTAAAATTTATAATTTATTAATAAAAATAATAAATAATAAATAGTAATTAATTATTTAGTTAAAAATTAAATAAATAATTAATATCTCAATCATATATTATATCAATTATAATCTATTAATTAGTAAATAGTTGATAAATAAATAACAAAGAATAATTGCTCAATTAACAATTAATATTATATTATTAATATTAATTATTAATATACTAATCAATAATAATTAATAACTGATAATTAGTAATTAATCATTATTTAAAAACTAATAATAAAAAATTGATCAATTAATATATTAAATAATAGAGTATTAAATAAACATTAGTAATTAATAATTGATTTTTTAATTATGTGATTAAAAGTTAATTATTTAATTAATAAATAGAATATTAATAAATTATTTATATACTCATAATTTTTAATTAATACACTAATTAATTACTTATAAACTTCTAAATATAAATAAGTTACCAACATAATAATTACTTATAATCCACTATTAATTATTTAGTATATTAATTTATTATATATATAGTTTAATTACTAATGTACTGATGATGTCCATTATTATATGATTAATATATTAATTTTTATTTGTTAAGTGATTTTAATTACTTTATATCTTAATTTAAAATTATTAATTACATATACTCAAATAAAATTTAATAAATATAATCAAACACAATTTCACGTTTTTATTATATTAAAAATAATTTTTTAAAAAACTAACTAAACCAAATTTTAAAATCGGTCTAAATTTTTTTAAAAATAAACTTATTTTTATTTTTATACAAAAAATAAAACGATTTTAAAAATATTACCAAACGGGTCATAATTTGTATCCGTTTAGTTCGCTGATTTGAGTTTTTAATTTGAGTTGAAATGTGACTTTAAGCTTGTTTAGTTCACTGATTTGAGTTTTTAATTCTAATTGAGATGTGACTTTATGTGAGAATTTTTTATTATAATAAAAAAAATTAAATATGAGTATTTTTGAGAATTTTTTAAATAATAACATTTAAAATTTAAATTTAAATTAGTAAAATAAATAAAATTTTTATATAAAAATATTTTACTGTAATAAAAAAAATAAATATAATTATTTATGAGAATTTTAACGTTCGGTTGTCCCACCAAACTCAAAAAAGTAAAAAGGAACTCTTTTTTTAGTTTTTAGTAATTTTCTTTGCATGTGCAAAAGGCATCAGAAGCAATCAACCAGTCATCGCCAAACCAAATCCAAGCGACAAAGAAATCTCCCTCTACTCCTTCACTCAATCGGTGAGGTCGCCGGGAAAATCACGGGCGATGAGCAGCGGCAAGCAGTTTCAGTCGCCGCCGTCTTCCGCTTTCTGCTCGTTTCGGCGTTCTCTTCTCACTCTCGCCGTCCTTAGCTTAATCTCCTTCATCTGTTTCTCCCTCAAATCCCTCAAATCCCCTCTCCAGAACCCGAGCCCCACAACTTTGGTAAGGAAAATCTCTTCTACCTCTACGACGTTTTACTCTTCGATTGTTCTTATTTATTTTGTTTTCTGAAGGTTTCTGCGAAAGTGGAAACGGAGAATGTGGCCGAGGAAGAGAAGAAGGACGAGATTTCCGGCGTGTTCCACTCACCGGAGGTTTTCCGATTGAACTACGGGGAGATGGAGAGGAAATTCAAGGTGTATATATATCCCGACGGAGATCCGAATACCTTTTATCAGACGCCGAGGAAGCTCACGGGGAAGTACGCGGGCGAGGGGTATTTCTTCCAGAACATTCGAGAGAGCCGATTCCGCACCGAGGATCCGGATCAAGCCGACCTATTCTTCATTCCCATCTCCTGCCATAAAATGCGGGGCAAGGTACGAGGTTCGGTTCTGGTTCATATTTTTTGAGAAAATTGTAATCTAGTAACAATATAAACTTTTGGATCTGAGAAATCCGAAAGATTTGCTCTGTTTGTGTACTGCGAAGTGTCTTTTCAGTGAAAGAGGGTGATAAAGGTTTTTGATAACCGGATGTGTTTGTGTTGCTGAAAAGGTATGGATGTGGAGATATGAACTTCAGTGAGGTTAATCAAAGTTTTAATTTCTAGGAAATTAAAGTAGATTCAATGACAAAGAACGCTACTGGGTCAAGAAAGAATTTGGATGTATCGATATGGAATTAGGATATGCATGCGAAGTTGAGTTTTTATTGACTGAAAGTTTATAAACTATTTATCCATTCTTTTAGCGAAGTTGAGTTTGTATTAACTGAAAGTTCATTTACCATTTGCCCATTCTTATTATATATCCAACCAATCCAGCCTAGCTAAAATCTCACTCTTTTGAATCACACTTTCATATGCCTCATTCCGAAGAAAATTGATTCTCTTGAGGTGACAGATTTCAGGCCAATCAGTCTAGTGTCAAGCTTGTACAAATTTCTCATGAAAGTTTTGGCAAATAGACTTAGGGTAGTTTTGGGGACCACTATCTCAAAGACTAAAAGTGCGTTCATTAGAGGAAGACAAATCTTGGATGGGGTTCAAATGAGCTTGTTAAGGATTATAGATAAAAGCGAAAGGAAGGAATGGTGTTCAAGTTAGATTTTGAGAAGGCCTACGATCACGTGAATTGGACGTTTTTGGACTTTGTGTTGAGAATGAAGGGTTTTGGGGATAAATGGAGATTGTGGGTGAATGGATGTTTTAGATATGCTAACTTGTCAATTCTGATCAATGGCAAACCAAGAGGGAGATTTGGTGCAACCAGAGGTATTAGAAAGGGGATCCGTTATCCCTTTTTCTGTTTGCCTTAGTTTCTGATGCCCTTAGGGTCTTCTTGAAAAAGCTTGGGGTCTGGGTTTAGTTAAAGGTTTCATGGTGGGAGATGAAAGAATGATGGTAACCTACTTGCAATTTGTGGATGACACGTTGCTTTTCCCTAATTGTGAAAAACTTCATAAATGTTGCTGCAATTCTTGAGATTTTCAGTCACTTTCAGGCCTCAAAATCAAAATGAATAAGAGCATTGTGGCTGGTATAAACATCGAAGTCCAGGTTGTGCGGGATATAGCGGCCATTGTTGGTTGTGGCATTGGCGAGTGGCTGCTAAATTATTTGGGTCTTCCGTTGGGTGGAAACCCATTATCTAAGGAATTCTGGACGCCGGTCTTAGACAAGGTTGGAAAAAGATTGGATGATTGGAAGAAAGGCTTTTTGTCAAAAGGGGGGCGGCTTACATTGATCCAATCGGTTTTTGCGAATATTCCTATTTATTACCTTTCCATTTTTAAGCTCCTGGCCTCTATTGCAAATTTGTTGGAAAAAAGGATGAGGAACTTCCTTTGGTATGGTGAAAAGGACTCAAGAGTGGACTGTTTGGTAGCTTGGAAATTGGTGTGTTTAAGCAAGAAAAATGGAGGATTAGGAATTGGAGATCTTCTGCGCAAAAACCAAGCACTTTGGGGGAAATGGTTGTGGAGATTTCCACTGGAGCGGGATTCCCTTTGGGCCACAGTCATCAGATGCAAATATGGGCTTCATCCGAATTGTTGGGATTCAAATCCGGTTACGCATGGAAGTCATCAAGTCCTTTGAAATTCATCTCTCAAGGTCCCCCTGTTTTCTTGAAAAAGGTTAAGTGGGAAGTGGGGGAGGGTTCTAAAATTCGTTTTTGGAAGGATTGTTGGGTGGGTGATCAACCTTTGGCTATTACCTTTCCTAGATTGTTTAGCCTCTCTAATTCTGGAAATTCCAAAATCAATATAGCTTTTATATCTTCTGAGCTCTTAGGGTGGAGTTGGAATTTTAATTTTTGAAGAAATCAATGGGAAAGGGAGTTGTAGGAGTTTGCTGAGCTGTCCAGTGTCTTGGAGACATTTTCTCCAAGGCGCAGGTGGAAGATAAGAGGATTTGGATACCCAATGCAGAGGGTTTCACTTGTGCTTCCTTTTTTTCATTCCTCAATTGATGTCCCCAATTCAAATCTTATTCCTTTTCATGCTAGTGATTCCATTTGGAAAACTTGCGTTCCATTAAGTTAAAAGTTTTTGCATGGTTGTGTTATTGGAAGAAATTAAATACGGGTGATCTGGTCCTACTGAAACATCCTCATATGCTCCTCTCGCCGAATTGGTGTGTTTTATGCAGGGAAAATGGGGAAGACATTGATCATTTGTTTTTGCATTGTTGGGTTGTGTGGGGTTATTGGATTCGTCTTTTTAAAGGAGCTGATTTTCACTGGGTCAGCCCTAAGTGCTGTACTTCGCTACTGAAGGAGGATCTAAGAGTGTATGGAATGGCTAGAAGGGGAAGATTATGTGGAAAACAACGATGTTGGCAATTTTCTTTGGGTGGTGTGGCTGGAAAGAAACCAATGAATTTTTTAGGACAAAGATTTCGAAGAGACTGATCTGTTTGAAAAGGCTCAATTCCTGGCTTCGCTTTGGGCTTCTACAGATAAAGAGTTTAAGCATTTTCCTTTATCTTTAATTCTCTTAAGTTGGAGGGATGTGTTGAGTCATTGATACTTAGAGAGTTGTTGTGCTTTTTGTTTCTTGTCAAAACTGTTTTTGGTTTTTCACTTTTGAGGATCTCTCATTCCCGTCACCTTGTATTGATTAATTTTCATCAATAAAGGTTTTGTTTTTTATAAAAATATATATATGACAGTATATTTACCGTTTAGGTAGTATTGTTGCAATAATGGAGTAATTAGAACAAAAGTCTCCTATAGTATTAACTAGAATACAGGATATCACTCCTGTTTCTGATTTCCTTTCTCATTTCAATCGAAGGTTCTGTTTTACGAGTGCAATTGTTCAAATTTAAAAGATCTAAGGTAATTTTTTTTATTAATAAAATTTTCTCGTTTCTTAAAAAAAAAAAAAAGATCTAAAGTAATTGTGAACACCTTTTTTTATGCTTATTTTGGAACATTCTTTGGACAAAGGTAGGCAATCTGAAATCTTCAAAGCCGTTAACCCTTTTTTTTTTTTTTTGCCTTTCATCAGTTATGTTTCATTATAAGCTCTGTTTATTTCTAGACGCATCTGGAGCCATTGCTGGGTCCAATCTGTATATTTTTATGGTTTTTCCTTATTCATCATTTTTTAATACATATTGAATCCTCCTTTTGCTAATTATGCTTTGCTTCTCTTTTGTCCATCTTTCTTTTCAAGGATGTCTTTCGTTGTGTGTTCTATGGATTTCGTGCCCTTGATCTTTTTATGCGTATTTACTTAACTTTTCCACCTAACATAAGAATCTAACATGGGGATAAGGAGTTCGGTCGGCCATTATTTTCACATTTGGTTAGGGATTGGTCTCCTTTTCTGTAGCTTGGTCAAATTTTTTTTTTTTGTTTCAGCTCTCAGCTTATTATTTGTATTTTTGACGGTCTGTCGGAGGAAAACTCTCCCTCTGCTTTCTAGTGTTCCTTTTTCAGTTTAATAATATTATCGTTTCCTTTCAAAAAATAAAAATAAAAAATAAAAAATCTGAGGTTGCTTTATTTCTTGAGCGTCCATGGTGTCTGGTAATAGTTTACTTAATTGAGCATGTAAATTGGCCGTTGATGAGTTATTGTTAATAAGAAGTTCCCACTCTTCTCGAGAACTTAAATCTTTTTTGTACTGGTTTATGATCTTTTATTAATTTGTGCAGGGAACATCTTATGAGAATATGACTTTAATTGTCCAGAGTTATGTGGAGGGATTAATCTCCAAATATCCTTACTGGAATAGAACCTTAGGTGCAGATCATTTTTTTGTCACTTGTCATGATGTTGGTGTGAGGGCGACTGAAGGTCTTCCACTTCTCGTAAAGAATTCAATCCGAGTTGTATGCTCTCCAAGTTATGATGTCGGGTTTATTCCACATAAAGATGTTGCTCTGCCTCAAGTATTGCAGCCATTTGCTCTTCCAGCTGGAGGGAATGATGTGGAGAATAGGTAAGAGTAGCAAAAATGTCAATATTGATTTCTTTCTGCCACACATTATTCACTAATTAATCAACGTGTATTGGGCACTTTGGCTCTTTTGTTTAATTTACCAGTTGTTGTTTTACTGTCTATTTTTTGTGGCCTGTGTTATTGACTTGCTAAAATTTGAATCTTGCAGTTTATAATTGTGTGCTCAATATTTTCATTACTCCTTGAAGTAACCTAACAATATCAGTTCAATTTTATTATTAAAGTTGGTCATGTTTTTCAGGACAATGCTTGGTTTTTGGGCTGGTCATCGGAACTCTAAAATTCGTGTTATACTGGCACGAGTTTGGGAAAATGACACAGACCTTTATGTATTGAACAACAGAATCAACAGAGCTACTGGGGATTTGTTGTACCAAAAGAGATTTTACATCACTAAGTATTGCATATGCCCCGGTGGTTCCCAGGTGAACAGTGCTCGGATAGCTGACTCAATACATTATGGGTGTATTCCTGGTAAGAATTTTTTCTTTTAGCTGTTAAAAACCTGTTAGAAACAATAAACAAGTTATCTCTCTCTCTCTCTCTCTTGCGACTCTTTTAGCTGTTGGAATGAGCACTAGTTTTTTATGCAAATGTTATGAAAGAGTAAAGACACCGGTTAGATCACTCTCTCTCTGGCCCAGTAGAAAAATTGAAATTCTTTAACCTGCCCAGTACAGTGAAGATTAATCCCAACATCCAAGGACTTGGAGACACAGATTAGGCAAGGTAAAACCAGCTATTGGGTTTCTGCTATGAACCTTGGTCGGTGTGCAGGAGTAGTGGGGAGGCTATTTCCCGGACTCTATCATAACATGTCTTGTCTTGTTATATTCATGGTTTGGAAGTGAGCCCTCGTTTAAAATATACACGTATGCATATGTATTGGATTGATGGGTTAGGATTTTATTCAGACAAAGAACGGTGGCTTGTGCTCACAGATTAGGGTTCAGGGCAACAAAGTCTTACACTCTGACCTGGCTTTTTATTATGCTTCATCAAGGATTTGCTGTCTATAGGGGGAACTCCCTTAGACTCTATAATCTCGGTAACTACTTACAAGATCAGCTACCATTAAGCAAGCCTCGTAGAATTTTTTGTTTCAACTTTATTTACAAGTAACTTTTTAGCATGTGGCAAAGAGAAACAGTGCTGCAGAGGATTGTTTTAGCCCAATAAAAAGTTTGAGGTCAACAAAATGCACAACTATTTAATTCACGTATGTAATCAAGGAATTGTACTCATCCTTGTTTGTTCTAGCCTTGCTACATGATCAAAGAACCAATGTTATCGGACTGGTCAGTTAGTTTTTGCTTTTCGGAGTGGAGGAATGTAGATTGCAGATTGTATAGAATTCTGCTCTCTAAGCCTTGCAGATATTGAAATTCAATTGCCTTTCTGAATTTTTTATTTTAAATATTTTTTATTGAATCCCCTTTATTTATTCTCTTGTTCTTCAGTCTTAACCAAGCTAGTTTGATTTTATTTCTTTTGCAGTCATATTATCAAATTATTATGACCTGCCATTCAACGACATTCTTGATTGGCGAAAATTCTCCATCATAGTCAAGGAGAGTGATGTCTATCAGCTTAAACAAATTCTGCAGAACATACCTGACGAGGAGTTTCTTGCACTTCATAGAAACTTGATTAAGGTAAGAGCCCTTCCCCCACAACTTCGAGAATTCTTTTTTTCGTGATCAGAATTTCTATTTTCCAAAACGTTAACATGCATTCTTGTTTAAAGAGTTTTGATGCACCATGTTCTGATTTGTCATCATTTAAAGAAACAAGACTTTTTTCGCTGAACGTACAAGTCACTGGAATGACCTGCGTAATAACTGTGAAATTCGTTTATTTATTATTTATTTATTCATTTGTTTGTTTTTATAGGTCCAGAGGCATTTTCAATGGAACTCACCTCCCACCAAATATGATGCATTTCATATGGTAATGTATGAACTTTGGTTACGTCATCATGTTATCCAATACTAGATATGGTTCCTGTCAACTCTTTATATACCCTTGTAGCATAGCAACCCAAAATCCTGTAACATGTGTTAATTTCGTTTATCCTCCATGTCCTTTTGACAGAGAAAATTAAAGATAAAAGTAACCAAAAATCACTATTGTTTCGTTCTTTACGCGGGGACATTTTTGTCTTCTGTAATGCCACTAGTTTATACTCTATACCCTAACAATATATTTGGCTATTGAACCGGGTACTAGCACCATCTGGTGGTGCCAAAAAGTTTCTTTCAGACCCAAACTCCGAACAACACCCGTATTTATTCTGATAGAGTTAATACCCCTCTACTCACATAAGGTAGGTCCCATTAAGTGTAGCTACGACTAGAGTTGTAAGTTTAGACCGGACTAAATGGGCCGGCCCGAGGTCTGTCACTGTTGGCCTAGGCCGTGCCAAGGTTTCGAGCCCAAAAGTTTACTCGGGTTGGGCCGGGCCGGCCCAAACGCCATCTTTTTAAAGTTTTTTCTGAAAATACCTTATAAAATTTTTGGCCGGCCTTTCAGGATTGGGCTTGGTTATCCCTCTCCGATTTAGGGCAGGCCCAGGCCCAGCCCGGCCCTAACTTCACCTCTAACTGGGACTCAACCTAGTTGGACCCACCATTTTACGAGTATGGGTTTTTATAGGGATAAATATTATTTTTCAACTCTGAATGTCAAGGGGGCCCAATCACATAGACGTACATATATTTTTGAAATGGGATTTTTGAGCCAGAGGCCCCCAAACTTGGACATTCAGGTCCCCAAACCCTTATTTTGTTTGCACTGTTTGTTCCCACTTCCATTTTTTCTGTTGAATCTCATAAGATATAGAATACTTTAAGGCATTTTTCCACCTCAGGTCCCTAAAATATTTCTTTTGGTAGAAAAGTCCACAAAAGTTTTTTCCTTTGTTTAAGTATAACTTGTTATTCTTTGTCCATAATTTATGTTAGTATGTTCAAGCATAAAGTTAAGGATTATTATTACTAATGCCCTGAATTTTAGGGTCATTCTTAGTTTGCTCTCTAAACTTTAAAAGCTCTTATTTTGCTCCACGAACTTCGAGTTAAGTCTGTTGTAATTTCTATTAAAAACTTATAGAAAAAAGAGAGACGTGATATTTTTGTTTTAGATGAAAACCATATGACCACACTTAACATTCTCTTTTCCCGTCTGATTTTAACAGCAATGCAACAAAAAAGGTTAAATGAGAACAATTCAAAGTTTAGAATGCAAAGTGAGTTTATAAAGTTTAGCGGATAAACTGGGAATGGCCTTAAAGTTTAGTGGCACTAGTGAGAATAATCCTAAAGTTAAATATGTTAAGTAGTAACACAAAAGATTGATCATAAAGGAAAAAACACAAGATATTTATAAATAGAGAAAACACCCCTTGTATTTTGTCAAAATTTCACTTTCGTCCTTTTTATTATGTAAATACTTAAAACACTTCCCTTGTTTCTAAAAACATACCCAAAACACCCCTTGAAGCAACTAAACTTTTTAAAATACCAAAACTACCCTTCCCAATCTTTATTAAATACTATTTAAAACTTATTAAACCGAAATGTTAAATAAAATCAATCTTAAAAAATTGAGAACTTTCAAAATAATTGAGGTATTTCTTTGGTTGAAATATTTATTTGAGCAGTTTTAAATTTTTTTATTCAACTTTTTTTGTCAAATCATGCCTAAAATAACATTTAATATAGTTTAAGAAGGGTAGTCATGATATTTTCAAAAATTTAAATGCTCTAGGGGTATTTTGGGTATGGCTTTAGAAACACTGAAGGGTGTTTTGGGCATTTGCATAATAAAAGGGGCAAAAGTGATTTTTAGACAAAATGCAGGGGGTGTTTTGAGTATTATCCCTTATAAATATATGAATATCCATTCTATTGTACTCTAAGTAAATTGGTTCCAAATTACAACTGCAATGACACCCATTCTAGCTACCTGCTCTTTACACGCTAATGCATCTAGTTGGACAACTAATTATGCATTATAGTTACTTATTTACATATTTAACTTCGTGTTTTCCTAATTAGGATCAATCTTTTTTTTTTGGCAATTAATTAACATAATTAACTTTATGTTAGAGCATATTATATTATTTATGAATAAAAATAAACAAAGAAAAAGCTTTGGGGGACCTTTATACCAAAAAAAAAAAATGTTTTTTGGGGCCTGAATGTGCAAAAATGTCTTAAAATATTATACATCTTTATGAAATTTACGGAAAAAATGGAAATGTAGACTAATCGTGTAAACGAAGTAAGACTATGGAGAAAATTTTAAGTTAACCATTATTTTTTCAATTATATTATTTATGTCACTACATAAAATTTTGATGTTGTTACGCGAAATAATCTGTAGGATACAAAAAGATAACCAGCGGGTTACAAAAGATAATCTGTAGGTTATAAAAGATATTTAGCAGGTTATGAAAAGAACTTGCAGGTTATGAAACATAACTTGGTTATGAAAACATAACCTATAGGTTATTAGTGGTATAAGATAACTTTAAAAATATTGATAGAAAAAAAAAGTGTCAATTTATTGATGGCATTTTTAAAAATTCCCCTAAGAGTTTGGGGAGTTGAATGTCTAAATTCTTAAAATGAGGATTCAAATGCCAAAGATTACAAAGTTTGGGGACCTCTGACGTAAATATCTCTTTCTATATACTACTAGAAGATTATTGGCACTACTTTTTAGTGAGTGATAAGTTAGGTCCCCTTCCCAATTCTGAATTTTTAGTGGAGTTTCTCGTCAATTGTAGATGATATTATTCAGGTGACGACACAAGTACTAAATTTACGTTAATTTCATTGTTTTTTTTTTTTTTTTTAAAGCCTAATAACTCATGCTTTTTAAGAGAAGTAGAATTTATGAACAAAAAAAAAAAAGAAAGTAATTAGGTTGATCTTGATCGGGCTTCAGTTGTTGTAAATTGTCTATTCGATGAGTACTAGCCTGAATTGGCTTTTCAGACATGTTGCAAAGGGCGATCTTGTTCAACTAGTTGGCTATCAACTGGTTGCAACGAGTCGGCAAGTGATTTGACGAAATTGGAGCATCCCTAATAATCATACGACATTAAAAACTTCGGTTGCAAATTTGGTGGTTGGCACTTGTTCTTACTGATCCTCGCCAGATTATCCTCTTCGATTTAAGGAGGTGAAAGAGAATACTTTGTGCAACATAGGTAAAATCTATTTTGTCAAAAATTTTACGGGTTTCAATTGGTCTAGACTTGCCCTCTATTAAGAGTTTCCGGGATTACTTGTCAACATAAGAAAAGCTCTAGGAGTATTACCGTATTACTGAAAGCAAGTTCCTATTTTCAACCAAACCATCTTGGTTTCACGTTTGGCGTGCTTTGACAATGAATACAATGGTATTAAAAGTCTATTTTTCTTTTCTTACTCTTTATATTATTAATGTAACAAGTCAATTTTCATTATTAAATAGAGAAATAGGTATATAATAATAAAAAAAATAGGATACTCATTAATAGTTTTAAAACATAGTGACGAACGTTTTCACTAGAGTATAACGCTTAAAGGGATAAACGTTGGGAGATATTATTTTATTGGATTTTGTTTGTCTACCGAATATTTTGTTCCAGAACGTGGTTGTTCGTGTAAAATCGTGGTTGGAGCTGGATGTGAAGCATTATTTAAGGGGGTAATTTATTCAAATCGTGGAAAACGAAGAAAACGTCCGAACACATTGTTTGGATCAGATGATGAGATTTACGCTGAGATGCTTAGTCAAAATCCTTTTTTTATTTTCGATAGTCAAAGTTAGTCTCGGTCATTATCAAGACTTCTATGCAAAATTAATAGGTGATTTTAAAATAATTTTATTTTTAATTAAAAGTAAAAATAAAATTGTTTTAAAAATTACTTTAAGACCGATTTTAAAATTATATTTAGTTAATTTTTTAAAATATTATTTTGAGTATAATAAAAAAATAAAATCATATTTATTAATTAATATATTATAATATTGTTGATTAGTACTAAAATATGAAAACATAAAATTGAAAACAACTTTAACTGTTTTTTAATTCATTCACAAAAATTATTCTCATTGTTTTCGTTTTTAAAACATTTACTAAATAAACGTCGTTTCGTTTTTATTTTCATTTTTTGCATTTCAAAATACATAAAAACTGTTTTCAAAAACGCGTTGGTTCCAAACACGAACAAAAGCTCATTCTTGTTGCCTTCAATTTTTTTAAACCGCAAGGATTCTAATTTCTAAACCATTTTTTAAAATAAAAATGTACAAAATCATCAAATTCAAACCAGTGAAGCGAAAAAAGTCAGGATTTTGGGTCTGATAGTGATTAATAGGCTGATAGCTCTAGAAATGCTAATTAATAATTAAGAACAAGTACAAGGAAACAAGTGAAAATTCCGAAACTCAAAGTGGGTAAAATTCGTAACTTCTGATATTCACAGAGGCCAAAACATAAAACAAGTATCCCGGCCCTCCCGGGCATATTTTGCTTCCTCAAAAGCTGTAGGCCTGCAGCGAAGGGAGGAAGGAAATAGATAAGATAGTCTAAAATCCATTAAGAGAGAGAGAGAGAGAGAGAGAGAGAGAGAGTTATGGCATCATCTACAGCTTCGACTCTGTCATGGAGTTCCTCCTCGTTGCTTCAGAGATTTGGAGGCAACACAAACGAAGCCCCCAAATCCTCAGACCCAAGAACGACCTTCCACATTTTGGCTCAAAAGAAAGCGAAGAAAGCTCGAGCGGTAAAAGGAAAAAAAAAACATAAACTAACGAATGGGTTCTTTTCGTTTCTCCCTTCTTTACTACATATTATTTATTTAATATATTTAATATATTATTTATTTAATATATTTAATATATAATATATTTAATATATTTAATAATATTATTTATTTAATATATTATTATATGTTTTCAAAAATTAAACCACCAAACGCAGTTTCAGTTTTTTTTAAAACTGAAATCAATCTCTAAATAAAACTACCAAACGCATTTTTAGAAATAATTCAAAAATGAAACTAAAAACGTTTTCATTTTCATTTTCGTACAGAAAATAAAAACGTTTTGGAACCAATTCCAAACG